GTACAGGCAGCCCAGGGACATGTCTGCTTATCCCCAGCCGTGCAACCTGACTGGCTGGTGGGAGAATGACCTGGGCTCCAAGATGGAAGTGTTCGAGGTTGACAGTGACGGAACCTTCTTTGGCGAGTACCACACCGCCGTGTCAAGCGCCAAGAAACCCATCCAGCCATCCCCAATGACTGGCTCCCAGCACCTGGATGAGGATGGACAGTGCACCTTCGGCTTCACTGTCAACTGGAAGAAGTTCTCAGGTCTGTGGTGGAATGATGGCTGTTGTTGGATGGGGAGGTGGGATGGAGAGGGGAATTCAGGCAGGTCCCAGTGCTCGTCCCGATCCCTCTGTTCCCTCTGCTGTCCCCTGCCTCTCCTTCCCTGATCTCTCTCCACTCTGGATGGTGTCTGCAGACAGCAGTATACCTCCCAAAACAAGGTCTGGGTGAGGCAGCAGGGAAGGTTGCTTTGCTCTGCCACACAGCATTTCCCTGCAAATATCAGGATCCACTCAGGCTCCATGAGCATTAAACCCACGGATGCCTGTGAAGCTCCAGAATCAGCTGGGGTCCTGTTGGGATGCTAACAGCCACCCCTGCTTTAGATTCCACAGCTGTCTTTGTGGGCCAGTGCTTCAATGGGGATGATGGGAAGGAGGTCCTGCACACCTCCTGGCTGCTGCGGGAGAAAGTCAGCTCGGAGACAGATGACTGGAAAGCCACCAGGTGAGCTAAGGTACCCCAAATCCACCTGGGATCCCTACCCTGCTCCTGGCTGGGCACCAATGGGCTACTGCTTCCCCACAGGACCGGCCGCAACACCTTCACTCGAGTGGGCTGAAAGGAGGGAGAAACATCTTACTCTGGCCACACCTGGGAGACAGGAGTCCCCTCAGCAGGATCAGTGTGTAGCAGCATGCCTTGATGCTTCCAGCTCTGGAGGAATATTTTAAAAAAACAAATAAAATTAAAGATATTTAAACACAGCCTTGTGCAGTCTGTGGATATGTCCTGGAAAAGCTGGGCTAAAACATGGTGGAAGGTGGGTGCAGGATCTCATTCTGTTATTTTGGGAAGAAACCTGCCCCAAGAAAACCCATTTTCCAGCCCAAACAGGACAGTGCATCCCCAAAGTAACCCTCTGACAGTAACTGTGACCAGCACTCACTCTTTCCTGCTGAAAGCCTGGTGAGTCTGATGGGAGGATAAGCTGAGGAGCTCTTCTGCATCCCAAAAACCTGGCTGGGAGGCCCCCGTCTCTGACATGGTCCTTAAGCAGGCAGGTGAAGGGCCTTGGCTGTGTCCACACTCCTGAAAAGTGCCAAGGGTACTCTGTACCAGCCACACAGGGACAGTAGCTGCAGTACACCCTGCCCAAAACTCTTCCTAGGAATCATGTGATTTACTGAAAAGCTACTGACCAGCAAATACAGCCTCTCAAATCTCTGCCCAGTGGACTATGTGACCAACCAAAACAGGCAGTGCCTTAGGCACTTAGGCAACCCTCTAAGCCAAAGAAAATTATTTCCAGGAATTCAGCTCTGGGTCTGAATCTGAAACTTAGTCCTTGTGTCTTTGATTCTCAGAATAACCCAGGACAGTGCTGCATGTCCTGAGCTGGCTTACTGCCTGGGATTTGATGGACTTAAAAGCAGGACTGAGCTGCTGGGGCTGCTACTCCCACTGCTCCCCTGGCTTTTCTGCCACAAATGCTGTGGGTGGGAGAGCTTTGCTAGCAGCACATGTGGCTTTAGCAAGTTTGCCTGCTCTGTGTTTTTACCTGCCTTGTGACCATCTAATTTGCTTCTCACTTCTTTCTCCCTGGGGTTCACCTTCTGCTTCTAAAGCAGTGCTGCTGTTCCCTTCTCTCAGCCCTCTGCTATGCATTTGTGTATCTGCACAGGCTTTTACATGCTTTTAGAAGAGGCTGAGAACTGGGAAAGTGAGAGGCAGAGGGACCACAGGACTCTGCTCTCACCTGAAGCATGACCAGCTCAGCAGTGAGGCACCTTGCTAAGCCTTCAACCTCACTGCATGCATCCTCCTGACCTCATTATTGTCTTCATGCCAACATTTCCCCCGGGCAGGGCTCTCCCGAGGCTGCACAGCATTCCCAGGGTGCTTCAGCAAGGCAGCAGTGCTGCCCACAGCTGGAGCATCCTGCAAATCCCAGCAGACAGCAACAGTGCTGGTGAGAAACATGTGAGATATGAGCTGGCAGAGCTATTTCCAAGGCCAGTCCCTACATCAGGGCACCCAGCTAGGATGCAATGCATCCCTGGCACGCCTCGGATTTGGGGCGGCAGGTGATAGGACATGGTGCACCAGGGGTGCCCACAGGCATCTGGGAGTGGTTAAAGATGGAGAAGTTTCTCCACGGACATTCAGCATCCCTCAGCTCTGGGTTCTATTCAGCTGCAAACCCAGAAGCCTCCAGGGACAGGGGGAGCTGGTGGAGGCAGGAGGCACCTGAAATCACATGAACATGTCTGTGTGGCACAGCTGTTCACACACATAGTGTATCAGTTAAAAAAAAAGCCCAAAACCAGAATCTCTTTGCATCTTGGTGGGATGATCCTTGCATAAGGATGAAATCCCTTCTAACAGATAGTCACTGTTAGAATGGAGAAGGAGTTTTAACTGCAGGGGTCCTCCAGCACTTACATGTCTTAACCACATGTGGAAAACTGTCCTGTGCAACCGTTTCTGCGGGGACTGCTCGGGTCAACCGTTCACAGATGTCTCAACACTGAACAAGTTGGTGCCCAGCATCTCTCTCAGTGCAGCTGTTGAGGCACCTGAGCAGATGGAGGCAAGGAATTCCCAGGTCATTCAAGGGACTGCACAGTTGGTGGGTTTGGGTGTACCAAAACCTGGTACCCCTCCACTAGTCAGCTATGACAGAAGAGTAAACGTGGTTTTCAAGCCGTGACTTCACTGATTAATGAGGACACATAGCTCCCAACCCTTCCACCATTTCAGCCTGGCCCTCTGGTGAGGACCACACATTGTGTTCTGCTCTTTCTGCCTCTCTCCGTGGCCCTGTTCCAGCTGTAACCTTGCCAACCACAGACTGGCAGCCTGAGAGAATGGAGGAGCTCCTTAGTTATGTTATCTCAGCCCTTCCTGGGGCTGGTTTGGAACCAGGGCACACTCACAGATGTGTTCCTCCTCCCCATCCTACAGCTGAGTGCATCAAATTTGTCAGTATCAGCCCTTGTGTGGATGGAGGACCTGCAGCTTGTCCAGCTTGCCCCATAGGGCTCAGAAGGTTGCTCACTTCTGCCACTCTGCCCCACACAGACTGTGCTGAGTCCCCTCCATTGCACTGCACCCTGACCAGGCAGTGGGCCACTGACCTTGACCAGGTGACACACTTGATGGATCAGAAGAGACAGCCCACCTTCAACTGTCAGCTAGAGCTTTCCAGGTGCTGCTCCTTTGCCACCCCCCCTCCCGTATTCTCAGAGCTCCTCCAGTCTCCACTGAGGTGTCTTTGGAGTATCCCTGCCCTTCCTGTGAGGTCCAGCTCAGCTGGGCTCATGCCACCATGCCCTGAGTATCCCTTTCTTGTCCAAGGTCCCAGCAGGACAGCAGGCTGAGGAGAGAAACATCACCCACCCACAAGCACCTTTCCCACAGACAGACTGGGTGCCAAAGAGGGAGAGCCCCATCCCAGCACACCATCCCTTCACAGACTGCAGACTCCATCACCGCCTCCATGGGCCAAAGCTTCATAGATGAGGGCAGAAAGGAAATACTGAGGACCACATGGATCATGCAGGATGAGGCTGATGTGCTTGAGGATGACTGGAAAGCTAGTGGATGGGCTGCAGGGCACTTGTCCATCCTTGCTCTGTACGGGTGCTGCCCCTGTGGGTGTTGCAAGGAGCCCACAGGGGAGTGCCAAGCCCTGAGTGCTGGGAGCCAGCTGGGTACAGAGCAAGGGAGAGCAGTGTCAGGGTCACAGGGTGTTTGTAGCAAGTCCCCAGGATGAAAGCTGAACACAGCTCTATAATTTTTTCATTAAAAATGAAGTGCAATTTGAACATAGTATCCTGCTCCCTGAGGAGGAGGGGACTGGGTTTCCTTGTCTTCACGCCCAGGAAAGATGAGAATGACGGTCAATTCAAGTAGATCTCATCCCTTGTGCTTGGGCAGGGGCCAGAGAGGCACCTCATGATCTGGACACAGCCAAATGCCACTTCTATCTTCCCCTGCAGCACTGGGAGTGACATGTTCACCTGGTTAGAGTGGTATATTGGGGGATGCCAAGTGCCAGGCAGTCTGAGCACCCCCGTTACCGTCTTGCACCATCAGGAACTCCTTGGGAAGGGTCAGACAGGGCCCTGCCCAGCCTCAAAGCGTCATGCATATGGCATCACCTCCCACGGCATCGAGGGAGGCAGTGTGCACAGAACATAACCTCCCACAGGAACAAGCAAATTTTAACATCTACATAGCTTCCAGGAAAGCCCTTCTGCGCTTGGAAGAACAACTGATTCAAGAGTTCCTGCTGCAGCGACAAGTCTTAGGTCCCAAACCCAAGGAAAGCCCAGCACAGCTAGGATGAAAAGCAGCTCAGAAAGAGCAGCAGACACTTTCAGTGCAGGAGGGGTGCCAGGGCTGAGCCGTGCGGGCAGACACGTCAGCAGTCAGTGCCGCGGAGCACAGCTGTCCGGTGGCTGCAGCCTTGTGTTTAGGTGGCAGCACTGGGTCGGTGGCAGTGGGACAGTGTCAGGCCGTGCCCGCCCCAGGGCTCCGGCACTGAGCACGGAACGAGGTGGGCAGAGCCTCTTGGACAGCGGATGTGTAAATCATCCCTGCATCCCCACCTCCCCGCACAGCCGTGCTCATCCCTGCGTTCCTGCGGCGCTGCCCAGGTCAGGCAGACCTCCTCACCTCACCTGGCCTGGGCACGCTGACATCGGGACGTGGCAGCGCTGGTGGCTCCGGTTACAGCCCTATAAAGGGGTTTGGGATGCAGGGCAGAGAGGGAGCTGGGTCGGGTATTTCACAGCCCCGCAGCCATGGGGGGCGGCGCTTTCATCCTGGTCCTCGCCGTGGCCCTGGCAGAGAGTGTTGCTCCTGCAGAGAGGAAGGTAGGGGATGGGACACAGTGGGAGCGTGGCAGACGTGGCACTGGGATGCAGCGTGGGCAGCCAGGAGCTCTCCCTTAAATACCATTTTAGGCTTAGACAAGCAGGAGAGCTTTGCGAGAACCAAGTCCAGGCAGAGAGGGAGGTATCCCTGGATCACCCTCAGCCACCTGGTACCACCCGCAGAAAGCTTTGTTCCCATGGGGGAACCATGCACAGGGCGTTCCTTCCCCTGGGGTTTGTGCCTGGAAGCACCGTGAATGTGGCATCCCCTCTGACATCTGTGTCTGTGTCTGGTGTACCGTGCATGCTGCAGGGCTGGGATGTTCTGGCCTTGCTCCACCATCCTCTCAGCAGCACCTGGGGCAGCATTTCCCCAAACTGGCACTAGGAATAGCCAATGCCCTGCAGCTGCACTCACAGCAGGGCTTGTGGCTCCCCTGGTGTGGGGCAGCAGCAGGGATGGGGTCCCCCTGTGTGGGGGACAGAGGGTATGTGGCTGTATTCCTTCAGTGCCAGCTCAGCGGACTGTGGAGGAATGACCAGGACTCACTGATGGAGATTTCGGTGTTAAGGGACAACGGGGACTTCCAAGGACAATACCTCACCCGAGTCACCCTCTCCGAGGGCTGTGCCCTAATCTCCCCCCTGAGGGGTGCCCAGCAGCAGCTTGGAGAGGAGGGCTGGCCCACCTTTGGCTTCACTGTGAGCTGGGATAAGTTCTCCAGTAAGTGCTGGGGCACCTGGGCATGGCACAGCAGTGTCAATGAAGCCACACATGCAGTCAGCAGGACTTTTCTTTTGCCAGGAATTCAGCTGGGTGATGCTTTGGTGCAGCTAAGCAGCAACACCTATGCAGCACGGGCTAAGGGGCAGTGCTGGCCTGGAACAGGGGAGTCCCTCCTCACCCAACACCTTTGGGGCAAATATGGTGTGTCCAGACCTTGTTAGCACAAGTGGAGCTGCAAATCCTGCCTTGTCTGAGGGAGCCACAGGGAAGGGCAGGACCCCCAAGCATGGTTTGGTGGTTGTGTGGCCATTGGAGCAGGAACACTGTCTGGGAGGACAGTGGGGAAGGGGCAGCAGCCAGTTTCCCCACACATCTCCCAATAAGTCCTTTCTCCCAGATGCCACCACCACCTTCGTGGGGCAATGCTTTGTGGATGCAGGTGGAAAGGAGACGCTGAGCACCATGTGGCTGCTGCGCGAAGCTGTCGGGTCCCTTGAGGAGGACTGGAAAGCCACAAGGTAGTGGGGGACTATGGGGGACACTAATCCCGCAGAGGAGTCCTTCCTTGAGGGAACTCGGGGGACATTTAGGGACACCCTGTCACTGCTGTGAGCGCTGGCAGCTCTGAGCAGGCAGTGTCTGTAGGTCATCCCACAGCAGTTCTCAACTTCTCACAGGGTGGGCAGAAATGTCTTCACACGCAAACGCACCACAAAAGGAAAGATCCTGATGAACTTGTCCCCTCCCTGTGAGGCTGTGCCTTCACCAGCCCCATGATGGGATGGTCTGGCTGCAGCCTAAACCCCCAACAAGGCAAGAAAAACCTGCCTTTCAATTGAGAATAAAACTTAAAAATCATCAGTTGTGGTTGCCTTTTCTTAAAGTATGTCCTTGCTATACCTTCTGTCCCCAAAGATAGCCCTGCTGAGGGCAGGTCTCACCACTGCCCTTCCACAAGGACACCTGCATATCTCCCCAATCCCACCCATCTCCCTCCCTGGCCTCATATCCCATCTCATCTAAACCCAGACTTCCAATCCACCCTGTGTCATCATTTCCCACCTGCCTGATGGTGGCCGAGCTAGCAGCAGCATCCTGAATTCAGCTCACTTCCTTGTAGTGCCTTCATACCATTCCCACCAGAGCCTTTCCAGTACTGGGACTGCATGCTCTGTTGGACTGGGCAATGGAGGCAGCATTACCACTAGCTTTGAGATGTTGATTAAGCACTTCCTTTGTGCTGTATAGCACCCCAAGTAAAATGTGCACAAGTTAAAGCCCCCAATCCATCCCATCCCCCTCCCCCTGGATTACACTCAGGGATTTTCCCTTTCTCTACCACTGCATTTTTGTGGTGCCTATTTGCCTCTGTGGACACCTGCCAAACTTAGTCAGCTCTTTGGCACAAAGCTTTTGGCAGGTCCATGGGTGAAGAGTTGCGGAAGAGTTACAAAAATATCCCAGCCCCAGGCGTGAGAGCACTGTGGACACACAGTCCATCAAGCCTGGCCCTGCTCTAGTGAAGCTGCAGCACAGTGACATGAAGTGGAGGGATACCTGCCACCACCTTGGGACTTCTGACAAGGTGGCTTGTCCCTGCCAAACAGCACAGAAAGGCAGGAGCTCTGTCAGGCCAAAAGAACAGAGTGTGACATCCAGGACAACAGTGAAAGAATCCCCAGGGGGAATGTCTCTGAGTCCCTGTGATAGGCCATGAACTTGGGACTGAAAAAGACAAAAAGGAGGAGGAATGTGTTAGGAGAGGGGTGTTTTCTACTTGGCCCAGCTTTTGAGGCTACCTAGATGAGAGATAGATGTGTTAAGCACAGGGTGCCAGGATGTGCCAGGGCTAGCAGTGGGTATTGAGGGGTGACAGTCCCCTGCCCCCAGTTTGCACACTGCTGCCACAACCTGCCCCAAACACTGCTGCCTTGGAAACAGCAGGTGTTGATTCAGCTGAATCTCACCTGAATTTTCAGCATGCCTGCTCCAGGCATCACAGCAAAGGCACAGCTCAGGAAGACAGGGACAGTGCACATTGCATTTTGCACATCAAAGTCCTTTAAAGCAGCAAATACAAGGAAGAAGTGTGAATACAGTGCTAGTTATTATGCTCTGTGTGTTTAGCAAACACACTCACTTGGGACCTCAGTAATGCTGCTGTGGTTACTTCTTTCTCTAACTCTCATAAAAGTAAAAGCAAAACCATCAAATTCTGCAGTTGACCCACAGAAGAGGATGGAGAAATGTTACAGCTGCTAAAATGAGTAAGCTTTCCCGTCCGTGCAGACTGCAACACCCTGGACAGGCACTGGCACCAGCAAGGCAGGGAGGGAGTAAATGTTGAAATAGGTGGTAATTTCCAGCCTCCGTGCATGGGAGGCACATTCCCAAAGAAGGTATTGATACTTTCCAGACTACTATAGGGCCTTATAAAAAATTTTGTCCCCACTCCTCTGCACAGCCGTGCTTATTCCTGCGTTCCTTCAGCCCTGACCAGGTCATGCAGACCTCCTCATCTCCCTCGCCAGTCCTGGGCACCCTGACATCGAGCCAGTCATCTCACAGCTGCCATCCTGGTGCTGGTGGGGCTCCAGTTACAGCCCTATAAAGGGTGACCAGCTGCAGGGCTGGGAGGAGCTCTTAGCAGCCTTGCAGCCATGGGGAGAAGTGCTTTTGCCTTGGTCCTTGTCCTTGCCCTGGCAGTGTGTGTTGCCCCTGTGGAGAGAAAGGTATGGGGACAGATGACAGCGGGGATGTGGTGCTGACATCCTGCTAGACCCCAAAGTTTGCTGCTGGGGCATCACAGCTCAACAGGGGTGCAGGGCTGGGCTGCTGGAACTGGTGGGGACAGCACTGTGCAGTGCTGAGGGAAGCTACGACGAGGTTGGGAGGAAAGGACTGCTCCTGCAAGGATGCTGCTGGCTGTGGGGAATCCTTCAGAGGAAGGCAAGCAGAGTCATACCCCAGACAACTCCTGTTTTTCCCCCTAGAGTGTAGGGAAAGCAGTGCAGCTAGTGCCAGCAGAGGCAGGGTGAAGGGGTGGAAGCAGGATGCCCCCCTCCCCGCCTGGTCACTCCAACCCACAGCACTGGCCTTGCAGTGCCTTCTCTCTGGGTCGTGGCGGAGCGACACCGGCTGCCGGATGGTTGTGTACACCTTGGACAAGGACAGCAGATTCTCCGGTTTTTACCTGCCGGGACCTGCTGCTGGTGACTCGCAGCTCCTCACCTCACCACTGGAGGGGTCCCAGCAAGACACAGGGCTGGTCCCGCAGCCCATCTTCTTCTTCACCGTGAACTGGCGGCTCCGAGGTAGGCAGCAGGGGAGCATCATCCTGCAGCGGCGATGCCAGCAGGACACAGGGTGACCTTGTGCCTCACTGCCTGACGCACATCACCTTAAACCCTTCCAGACTCAGAGGCTGCTCGGACAACTGTCTTCCTGGGCCAGTGCTATGTGGACACCAAGGGGGAGGAGACCCTGCATGCTCTGTGGCTCCTGCGAGAGGCAGCCGACAGTCCTGCAGAGGACTGGAAAGCCACCCGGTGAGTGCTGGGTCCCAGCCACAGCTCCGCCAGGGTCTCCTGCAACTCAGGCTGAAGAAGGGAGAAATCCCATGGGGTGAAGCATGGGAGGACCGTGAGGGTGGAATGGTTTGTCACCAATGATATTCAAGGGCTGAGGATCATCCGTGTAACGTGGTCCAGCTCTGCGTGACAGATGTGACTCAGGGTGGAGGATCCCAGGATGGGGTCTGGCCACAAAGGGTCCTTCCCAGGACCTTCTTTCCACTCTCCTCAGCCGAGAGAGAGGAAGAAAAGGTGCCAGCACCTGGCTCAGCCTCTGCTACAGACTGCTGGAACCCGTAGCACCCCAGGCATCCACACAATGCTCCCCTTGGGTTTCCCCCCTATCCTCCATAGCATACATGACCCCATCTGATTTGTTGTTTTCTGCAGGATTGGCACCAGCATCTTCACACGGATAAAATAACAGCAAGTTGGAAAATCCAGCAGGCTCAGGACATCAGGGAGTCCCTAGGCAGACTTTGCCTGCACCAACATGCTGCACTAGAGCAGCTCTCAGCCCAGAGAGGTTCATGCTTTCTTAGGCAAGTTCACCAGATGCAAAATAAAGGGTTTCTGTGGGGATGCAGGGCTTCTCTCTGTCTTCTGCCCTACTCAAACTTGTTGGGTTTGTCTCACCTAGCAGCCACCCTCCCACAGGGAGGTAACATGCTGCTCTGGGACTGAAGAAGACAACAAGGCTGAGGGCAGCAGTGTCCCTGGGGATGGGACATTGGCCCTGCTCTAGTGAACAGCCTACTGTCTCAGCTCCCCTCCCTGGCAGTGTGCAGCAGTACTGTGCCTGCAAACCTGATGCTCTGGGTAACATGTCCCTCGAGGTCACTCCCAGATGTCCCTAGAGATGGGGGACAAACCGGGCTGTGGCCAGGCAGAAGGATAAGGCACAGCCCCAGTGTGCTGACAGTACTGCAGAGCCTTCCCCACGAGAGCACAGCAGAGGAAGCTCTCAGGTGCCCCAATGCACAGGGCAGCTGCAAATGACCCTTGCAGAGCCATCAGCCTCCGGTTCCCAGCCCCGGCAGATGTGCAGCAGCGGCCAGCTGCCAGCTGCCCTCCCATCCCAGGTCTGGGGAAAGCTCCCAAAGCTCCCAAATACCTTGCCCCAAGAGTCCCTTCAGCACGGCTGTGTCCCCCGAGTAATTCATGGGGGTGTGTCTCCAGCCAAGACCCTGATGTCCAGTCATAGCCAGGGAAAGAGAACAGAGGAAGGGAACATCTGGCTGGTGCAGATGTTTTTGGCTGGACTTTTTGAGGCATCATAGCCTGACCTCTCTTCCTTCTGCCTTAGACACTTGCCAGAGAGGTCCTAAACACGACCCTTGGGGGCTCAGCAGGCCCAGGGCCGAGGTGCCCAGCTGTGAGGGCTGGAAGGAGGCAGTGGCTCCATCACTGTATTTCCAGCTGGTTTTTAAACCAGTTTTTAGATTTGTTTGCTTTTTCTGTTTCCACCAATATCCAGCAGGTGGTGCTAGTGGATATTAATAGGATGGATGATGACACAGGACTCAGATTTCCCTTGAAGAGGTGGGTATATCTTGTTTCTGCTACTGAGTGAATTTTCCATCTCTCTGAGAAACCCTAATTCATTTTTTAAAAAAAAGGCAAAGCTGATTCCTTTAAAGCCATGATCAGGAAGTGTTTTGCATTGTATTACACAGCCTAGGACTTCCTTGGCAACAGAAAGCAAATTTCATTTAATGCTTTCCAAATTTTCAATATATCACTGTCACGGAAAGGAGAAGATACTCTGACACTCAAGGAGTCACCCAGCAAAAAGGATTCTGTTTCCACCTGGCAACACCCATCTGGGACTTGCCAAGGACTGTCCAGGATATTTTGCCCTGAAAAGCTCCTGCTCCCAGTCTGCCAGCATAGTCCCACAATGCTGACACAGGCTCTTGCTGGGACACAAGGGAGATAGATACAGGTTGACCTTGGACATAACAGAGGGAACAAGGTGGGCATGCAAGCTGGGACCATACTGCTGACCTAAGACAGAGTGTGGGGCTGTGTGTGCATGCAAGCAGCACCACTGCACATGTAGACCATGCTCTGATCCCAACAGTGTGCTAGGAAAACGAATGGGGATCTGCAGCAAAGAGGACAAAGGGGTGGCAGGAATATCAGGCAGCTCCTGGTCCTCTGCTCGATAGTAATAAAGTCCTCAGCCAAAGGACTCATTATGAGCACTTTTATCATTACTGCCCTTTAACCCAAGGCATGAGGTCCAGGCTGAATTTCGTCCCTGTCCCCAGCTCAGAGCTGCTTGCTGTGGGACTGGCATGAGAACACAGAAAGCAATGAAAAATAGCAGACCTGGGTCATTATGAGCTGAGACCATGTAGCAACCTTCCCCAAAACTTCCAGCTCCTGGCTCCCAGCCTGCGTTCCCAGAGTTATTTCCCTTCCTGACATCTGGCCAAGCAAGCCAGACTGCTACAAAGAGCAATATTGACCCCATCATACCCAGACAAACACCGGCTCATGTGGCAGCTCCCAGCTTTCCTGGCAACACCACCACATGGCTCATTGAATATTGATTAGTGCTGGATCGAGGGCGCCATGTAACATCTGTGACACCATCCACTCTGGCCTTGAACTGCAAAAAATGAAACTAAAGGGGGAACAGCCTATTACACACACTGACCTTCAACTGCAAAAAATGAAAGAAGATTGGGAACAGGACATTAGGTACCCTGGCCTCAAACTGCAAAAAAATGAAACTAAAGTGTAGATGGGGTCCTAGACCTTCCTGATGCCATGCATACCTCCTGGGGAAAGAGTTCCAGTGGTTCCCTGGTGATGCTCAAGGGCTGTCAGTCCTGGCCAAGGTAGAGCTGTGACCCAGCCCTGTTGGGAGCATGCTGCTACCTGTCCTGAAGCAGAAGCCCTGGGTCAGCCTCTCCTTGGCTGTCTCCTCTCCTGCCACAATGTTGTCTCATACCTTGTTTTTGTTCCCTGGGTGGGATGCAAGCGTGAAGCTTCCTGCACCCATTGCCTTGCTGAGCTGCTGTGCCTCAAAACCCTACAATGGGCTCTGCAGCCTGAGCACAGGATCTACCAGTGCCTCCTGTGGACCCAATGAACCTAACCAGACCCGGGGACAAGCCTGAATTTAGCAATTTCACAGCAGGCAAGGCCCACCCGGTGGCTGTTGCAGCACCCTGGCTCTGCTCCACTTCCTGCGATTGTGCAGCTCCCCATTACGAAAGCAGCAGTGGAGGCTGACACCAACTCCTCGCGCTTCCTCCGGGGGAAGCTGCTCGCTTCCGCAGCACTGGGGGCTGGCGTGTGCGTCGTGGGTGCTGGGTGCTCACCACATACACTCTTCTCCAAGAGTGCTTTTGCACCTTGAAGAGGGGTGAGAGCAGAGCAGCAGCCCTGCAAACCCACGCTGTGCCTCAACAAGCCCCTCTGCACAGCCAGAGCCACAGGACTTCCCCTGCATGCATCTGAAAGGGACTGCCCCCGAGCCTGCTCTGGATTTCACCCACAAGGCTCCCAGCCCCAGGTACAGCCCCCAGCTTTCACCCAGCAGCCCAGCACCTTGCCAAAACAACCAGAGGACACAGTCACACACCATTAATATTTATTTGGACTCTATTAATAAGGAAGCTATTAATTATTATTCTGATCCAATTTGATGCTATCCCTACTCATTGCAAGGGAACTGGACTAGCTGACTTTAAGAGGGCACTTCCAACCCAAAACATTCTATATGACTACATGGAATATCCTGCAGTAGGACAAGGAGATCTCTACAAGTACCACTAAGCTGCACTCTGGCAAAGACACTGCTCACCAGCTCAAAGTGTTTCTGTTCAGCCCAGAACCACTGACTGCATCACCAGCCAGCACAGCAAGGCTTGGCACACAAGGACACGGCTTTGAAACTGTCCTGTGGGCAGGAAAGCCTTCAGAAGAGTTAGCAGCTCTGCTGCTCTCTGAACATGCTGCCTCAGCAGTCTGGTTCACAGCATGCCTGCTCCCTGAAGCCCAGAAGCCTGCAGGAGATGAAAGGCTCAGCCCTTACAGTAGGCAAACAGCACACAAGGCTCAGGAAGGACTCCACATTACCTTCTCTAGCCAGGCTGGGAGCTGTGGCCATGGCTCAAAAGCTAGCAGGAACAGGCGACGTGCTGGGTCTGTCGCAGCAGCAGGCAGGATTACTCCTGTGAGAGCACTGAAGGTCAACTTGCTCCCTCACACCTAGAAATCACATAGTACTGCAGGATTAAGGTGCAGTGACACGGGACATGTGTTTGGGGCCACAACACAGACTAAGAAGTGCCTGTTCATCTCCAGCTGCGCAGTGAAGAAGCAGGGCAGTGGCCTCCACCGCCAACTGCATCCAGTCAGACCAAGTACTGGCACCTCAGCCCAACTGCCACCACCCTCCCTGCCACAGCCCATACCCACAAGCCACCGGGTGCGCTCTGGGCTGCAAGCCCCATGAGCAGCTACAGTGAATTCTCAGAATTTCCTGTCCCATCTCAGATGGAGCCTGATAAAAATGTCAGAACGATTTCTCCCTGGTGAACCCTCTGAGTTGCTGGCAATCAGGAGAGTACTCAGAAGAAACTGCTTGGATAGATAATCTGTTAGTGCAGCTCTGTCCCTGCCCCACAGGATGCCCAGTATCATCCCAAGGAGCAGGATGTAGCATTGATCACATCTCATTGGCATGGTGCTGCTGGATGAGAACTCTGTCAGGTTGTTCCACCCACTCCTGACCCTTGGATTTCCATGGCACCAGCACTGCGGCTGGCAAAGGGTCACTCTGGGGCGGGCCTGGCTCGGAGCCTGCTGCTGGCGGAGGGTCAGAGGATGAGTTGCTGTTGAAAGATCTGGGATCGGAGTTAAGTGGACTCTGTCCCTCTTCCCACGACTGACTGAGGTTGACCGACAGCAAGGGGTCTCCAGGCTCTGGGCTGAAGCCCTCCAGCTCAGTGTCATGCTGCACATCAGGTGCTCCGTGGCTCGGAAACTCGCGGATCTGCCGTGACAGCACTGTAAGAGAGGTAGAGCCAACTCTGTCATTTCCAGCCTCCCACCCTCCTGTGCTGAGCATGGAGCCACCACAGAGCCCAGGAGAGAGGATAAACTGTTTAACCAGAACTTCCTCTTCCCAGGGGAGGCGGGGAGAGGATGCTGCACAGCTGCCAGGCACAAGCACAGTTTGTGCTCCAAGTGGGACCGGAACTCTCCTGTCCTTGCACCGCCCCTGGCACAGGGCCCTGCTTCCAGGCAGGTCTCTGCAACAGGGCTGAGGAAGAGTCGAGAGCTGGGGCGAGACAGCAAGCCAAACCTAGTGGTCACCCCAGGCAAGGGGATGCTGAGTTGGAAATGCCTCTGAGTTCAGGCTGTCTCTAGGGAAGGTGCTGTGCTTCACCAGGAGCCACACCTCAGCTCCAACCTGGGCACCTCAGCCACAACCTGGGCACTCACCCTTGAGCTCCTGCTGTGGCTCTGCGCTCCTGGGCAAGTGGATGCTGGGGGACAGAACGAGGCAGAAAGAAAGAACCACGATCTGGAAACAGAAAGATCAGCACAGATCTCAGCAGACGTGGACAAGCATCACTAAATGCCTCTCTTCCAAACTTGTGAGGACAGCAGAGACTCCTCCACAGACACTGGGGTCAAAGCCACTTACCATGGTACAGGTTGTTCTTCTGGTAGTTTTGGGGGCAGACTGTCTCACCAAGGCCTGCAGTTTTTGCAACTGCCTGAGCAGTGACCTGCAGGAGAACAGGAAATGCAGGTTAGCATAGCAGCGGGACCTAGAGCTGCACACTTCCCTCCACCCTCTGTAGCCAGGGACAGGCCTCAGTCCTGAGAAGAGGAAGAGCCTTCCCCACCACAACTCCTGCCAAACCAAACAAGACAAACTCACATGTTCTGCTTCTGCAGCTGCTGCACCTTCTTCTCCAGTTCATGGTTTTCAGCTGTGCAGGCTGCCACCCTTCCCAGGAAGGACAAGAGGCAATTGGAAAAACAGAGAGATTTTGTTGGTCAACAGCAGAGACTTCACATCAGTCACTACCTTTGCGTGGCTGGGGCATATAAAATTGGTCCTGAGGTCCACCTGGTATCACCTGCTGGAAAGCCCAGAGAGCACCACCTCATACCAGATATGGGGACGCATGAAGTTGTGCCAGTCCTGCAGAGAAGCAGTTGACTAACCCCTATGGATGCTCACTCCTAGTGGCACACCGGCCCTGTAGATCTGTGACATTAGGCTGTATGACTAAGTAGTCTGACCTGGAAACACATTCAACCCAGCAGATTGGCTATCTGGCTTAATTACAGCAAGCTCTGAGCCATCTCCACGCACAACAGCACCAGGCACGCTTTACCCTGATGTTCCAAATCCTCTGTAGAGAGCTGCTGCCCCACAGGTACCTTCTGCTCAGGGTGGCATGAGCCAGCACCCAAACAGCACAGCAGCTCATGACAGGCACCCCTGTTCCCAGACCTGGAAATGTGGTCAGCACAACTAAGGCCATGCAGGAGGGAAGAAGCCATTCTGTGACCCACCAGGTCATGTATTCATTCCCTTCCCATTGTTATCAGGCACTGAAGGTCCTGCGCACCAAGTACTCAACCAGATTTCTTTTTCTCCTCTATACCAGCCTGAAAGTTCCTGGGCACCAGGCCCTTCCCTTACTGGCCTTGAAGTTTGCAGACACACAGCCAGCTCTGTGTTGCTGACAGCTCTATCACAGAGCAGGGAAGCACAACAGCACAGAGTGCACTGTCCACAATATCAAGCAATTAGAACGTCCTAAGGGACACCTTGGGAGTAGAATTTCTACTGGACAGCTCAGTGCCTCTGCTCAGGGACACATCTACCATTGCCTGCTTCCTCCCATGATGGAAGGAGAGACTAGCACCCTTTGTATGATTCCTGAATCTGTGTTATGATCATTATATTAATACACAGAACTGTCTATTAAGATCTGATCCAATCTGCAGAGGGCACATGTGACTAGAAATTTTAAGTTAAGGTGTATTAGAATGCAAGTCATTAGAAATTGTAAGTTAAGCTGTATAATAAATCCTGGACTACACTGCTTATAGACTGTACTACATTGATTCTGCTTGTAGAAAAACTGTGCCAATCTAATCATAAATCCTTGCTGTTACTAATTGTAATATGATAGGAAAATGAAGTTCTGATTGAAATTACAGTTCAGTGCCATCATCATTCTGCCAAGGACCCCTAAAAGAACATAGAGGTCCCCTCAGTGTTGGGTGACACTGCTGTGATCATACCTGTTTTCTAGGCCATCCACATAGTTCTTCCTCCGGCGACGACTATCCTGAGCTGCTTGTTTGTTCCGAATCTTACGACGCACTTTCCTCAGAACTCGCTCTTCAGCCTGCAAGGATCATATTTCATTAATAGCAATCTCAGGGTGCTGACAATCCCACCCTCTCAGACTGTGCAGACATCTCAGTGCCCAGCCCGAGAGGTCCTTCCCACAACACTGAATAAACTTCAAGGCAAACCCAGGCCTGCGGATGCAGTCAGCAGCTTCCATGACGTAGCAAAAGTAAGGCATACCTAAGGGAAGTGAAAAGCACACGGCTCACAAGCCGGAAAGGAAAAGGCAAGCAGGAAAAAAATAGCTGGAGGCACTTGTGCTGTAACTGCCTCCTGCAAACAGCCATGAGTAGGGAGACTGACAGCAGACAGAAGCTGCTGTGCATATGGACAACACCCTGGACTCAAAAGGAGGAAAAGAACACCAAGCCCAGATGAACACCGCCCTGAACACAGCACCTGGCCAACAATATTCTCATCAAGGCACTCTCCTGTAGTTTCAAGTACACTACCGGACACATTTTAGTGATCTGCTTGGTTCTAGTGAGGACTCACTTTGGTCAGTGGCAGACAGGTTGGTAATGTAACACCTTCTTTCTCCAGGAGCTGCTTCTCCTCCTCAGTCAGGACCAGCTCTGGGAAGTCAGACTAGAAAACAGCAAAAATATACTACTGAGAATGCAAAATACAGGGAGTCCACCCCGGGTGCAAGAGGCCATGTAGCAAACACAAAGAAATGGAATCAGCTCTCCCAAAGCAGTGTCATGCTTTCCCTTAGAGATATCCCTCACAGGAAGCAAGTCAGAAGAGAAGGGGACATGTGAGCAGAAGCAATGGCTGGGGTCCACAGGCATGGGAGTCAGTACCTGTTCAATGGCACCAGGCACAAGCTGGGGTTCATCTTCCACAGCAACAGCAATAGGGGAACTGGTGCTCTGTTCCAGTGCCTTGCTTGTGCCTTCCACACCAACCCATGCCCCTGGGGAATGAAAGACAAGTCAAATGCTGGGCCTCAGTGAGGTAGCACCTGACCAGCCAGTTTTGAGTAGCATGAAACAGCAATTTTACAGCAGCAGAAAGCCTCTACTCTTGGCTCTCTTCATCACTGGACACCCACCAAAACCAATCAATATGCGACTGCTTTTCTCTTTTCCGCCTGTAGCCAGGGCAGAAAGAGTCCATACACATCACTCACCTAGCTCAATGGTGACATCTCCTTCTGCTATATCAGACCTCACACTTTCCAGTGCAGGCCAGTCCTGGTGAAGGGAGTAGTTATGATCAACCTGCACAATGTCTTGGCTGGCAAAATTGCAATGGGACAGATGCTGATCATCAGAAATGCTGCTGTCATTGTTGGCAGGCAAATAACTGAGCCTGTCTGGTTCATCTTCTAAAGGCCTCAGCAGTGAGCTGATGAAGTCATCCATCTCCTTGTCCAGGAGCTGCAGAGGAACAGCTTTTACTCAGCAGGGAGACAAACCTCCTAAACATCAGCTCAGCAGCAATTCCTCACAAAGAACTCACCTCAGGCATTGGCAGGCCCCAGTCTTCCAGCAGACCATTCTGCTCCCCTGGGATTTCAGGGCAGGGAGCATCATCCTTCAGGAGAAAGTCAAGCAGATCCATATCTGCCAGGGCATCCAGTTCCTCTGGGCACGACATCTGAAAAGGACACCCTAAGTGAGCACAGGCACAATGGGAGACATCAGCCTTGTTTTAAGGTGTCCCTCAGACCCTACAGACAAAGTATTCCCATTAAATGTCAATAGCAGGCATGACCAGTTCACAAGTACTTCTCCATCCAGGCTATAATAGTGACAACCGGTGACAACAATACAGTAGTTTCCCCACAAGGTTACTGCAACCCAGCCACAGGAGCCATGCTCCACCCACAGCGTAAAAGCTGCAGGAAAGAGAGGAAAGGTCAAACAACCCCAGACTTAATGGTGTGGAAAGCATGCAAGATTCTGCTGTTCCCCAGAAGCCTGAAGGTACCATACACCCTGGTCTGCAGCCAGCAGGGAGAACTTCCCATCCCAGGAAAATTAAGAACAGTCACTGTTTAGGTTTTAACTAAAGGGATTCTGTTAATGATTAAATGATGATCAAGTTCTAAGTTATCAATGACTGAACAGAAATTAAATGGTAATCAGATGGTGATTAAGCGATCATTGAAGCACAATTAATGAGTGATTTAACGAACCAAAATGATGACTTAGTAATTCAGATAGCTGTCAAATGCTGTACTATTTATTGCACTTGTAATAAATAGGTGGATATTGCAATAAATAAATAGATGAATATATATATGAATGTCACTAGCACACAATATACCTTTAGTTTGAAAGTAAAATGCTCCTTATCTCACTGTAGAGATCTGACACTGGTAGTGTCTCTCAGCCCTGAGGAGTGGCCTGGAGAGCCGTCCCTGCTGCCAGGGAGGTCAGGGCCCGGCAGAACGAGAGCAGCAGAGCTCAGTGGCTCGAGGCAGCCACAGGTACACAGAGGGCAGAGTGAGAGACTTGCAGCCAAACACTGCCCTGGCACTTGTGCACCTGTGTGGCTGTGGCAGCCTTAGCTTTGTCTGGTCCCAGCTCGGGCTGCTGCTGCTATGTCCTGACAAGACATGGCCCAGGAGCCTCGGTCCTTGAGGAGATGTGGCCTCGCATGGCTCCCACGGGATCAGCCCGGCCGGCTCGTGGGCGATGCCTGAGCCAAGGCACCGCTCAGGCTGTCAGAGCACAGGCATCCATCGCACGTCTCCATCAGCACTCCTAAGCTTTCACATCTAGCTGTCAAGTGTCACAGTCTGAGGAAAAAAAAAAAAACAAACAGAAAAAATAGAATACTACCTAAACCACCTGAAACCCCGCCCAAAACCAGAGGACCAGGGCAGTCCCCAGACAGGGCTGCTGACTGGAAGGAGGGCTGTCAGCAGAAAATGGAGCAGCAAGAGGAGGAGGAGCTGGGCAAACCCGGGCAATACCAGGGCCCATGGCTTCCACACACTCGGAGGAGATTCCCCGAGGGAGCGTGCGCCGGCAGGGGCAGGACGGGAACAGGAGGAGCAGGTGCGGCGGAAGGGTGACCGAAGCGCAGGGGCCGGGACACCCACCCGGGAAGAACCAAGCAGACCCTCCCAGCCTCGGCCGGACCCCGAATCCCCTGATCCCCGAACCTCCTGGACGCTCAGAGCAGCGGACCCCGACCCCTGGCCGTGCCCAGCGCCCTCCCTGCCCTCACC